CTCACTATTTGCCACAACCACAACCACAACCACAAACCTCCTGTGGAGTGACACAGTCATCAGTAATCACCAAGTGGTTAGTGGTCATTCCCACACTAAGCCCTTTGATCTCCATTAGTGGACTTTCCTAGGATTTTCCCCATAGTCCTTAGCCAGGTGTATGAAACAGGAGAACCACCAATATAGTAGCATTGTTAACAAATTTACATTAACATGCACAAGATGCATACTTTGTTTCTTTGTGGTCTTTACCCAAGCAGTTTGTAAAGATCCAGTTTTATCATAAATAAAGTAAGGTTGTTACAGTGATCTAACAGAAAGTGTCCTGCACTAGTAGTTAGAAAACCTGGATTCAAGGCCTACCCCTGACAGCAGTGAGCTAGGTGATCTTGGTCTTATAAGTTCCATAAGTTTGCTAGGGCACATCTCATCACTTAAAAAATTAATATCAGACTAGACAATATCTAAGACCCTTTCCAGCTTTGGTGAATAAATATTCTGGTTTATGATTCTATTATTTCTGCCTGTTTTATGTTTTACCTTCCCCACTCCAATATCACTTAGCCAAATATCTGGCATGATAAGTGTGCAGAGGAGATGAAAGAAACTATACTTAGCCATAGAAAGGGCTTTGGGATGGTTTAAGATAGCCAGGGTCTTGTACCTCGAAGCAAACAACTCCCACAAAGCTGACTGAGTAAATTCTCATCAAGCTACTGACAATCTCCAGAATTTAGTAGATTGTCTCTGGCCCTTCTTTCTCAGGAAGGCCACTGGCCAAATATAGCTATCCACAGAAGAATATACTTCACCCTTTCTTCTTTCCTGTAAGGTCTCCCTGCTCAAGCTGGTGTGCCCAGAGTGTCCCTTAATTGGCAGATCCCCTGGTCTGGGTCACCAGAAAGATACCATGCCATATATTTTCTATTGGGAACTCATCCTTTGCTCAGGTCTCATCTCCCTACTGAAAGGGTAATAGTAATGTTTGTGGGTCAGATAGAAATCATGTTGTGATCACTTACTAAGCCCTTCAGGATTTTTCCCCTTGGAGTCTTTTTATCAGACTATGCAGCACAACCAGCAAAGAGTTCGTGAGTGAAGACCAGACTCACAGTAACAGATGCTCTTCTACTCTTGCGCCCCAAGACATCGTCTGGAGAACACCTCCAAACTTACAGTTTTTAAGACTTTTATGAATATTGCTGTCTTGGAAACTTACAACATTCCACTTGGAAGAAGTCTAGTCTTCAAATGGTAATAATTAACCTAAGACCCTTCTCCCTCAAAAGAAGGAGGGTGGGAGACCATTGCTGTAGGAATATGGCAGATCTTTGAAAAAAATCTTTTACAATATGTATGTTTTTAATTAGTGTTTTGAGAAACATTTGTTCCTTTAAACATAATGGGCATGGGTTATAATAGAAGCAGAGTATATATACTGTCTGTCCTCAAGAAGTTTAGATATTGGGTGGGGGAAACAAGAAAGGGAATTTCAAATCCTATAATGCCAACTTTTAAGCTTATAAGTAACAATGAAAAGACTGCTAGATGAGAGGAAATGATACAAAAAATGGGTAGAAATTTGTGGAGTGACTAGGCCTCATTGCCTCATCTGTAAAATGAGGTTTTGGACTACATAGGCTTTGAGGTCCCTTCAAGTGCTGAAGCTCTGACTTTCTGTGCCTATAACATCTGTCTATTGCTTCTTATAGTCTTAGGCCAGCACTACCTATGACCCTCTCTACATGATATTTTAGAACACTCTTGCCCTTCATACAAAGCAAACCTGTTTCCAGAAAAAAGTCTTTTTCAGGATATAGCTTTCCCACCCCCAGATGGCATGAGCCTATGGGAATCTGATCTCTGTGCAGTGATGAATTTATTATGTCAGTCACTGGGAAAGCAGGGACTAGATTTGTCTTGGCTTGACTTGTTTCCATTTTCAATTGAAAATGAAGTTTTGGATAAATTTCCAGCCTAACTTGGTCTGTTTGTTGGAGACCTGCCAGTGAGCTATGAGTAAGTGCAGACAGGGTGGGGTAACTGGGATTTGATTATTAGATTTTCTTCCCCCCTGTGGTTTTGGACAGACTACTTTGTGATATCCTGCTGCATCATCTGAAAACCGTAGGTCGAATTTCTGGCACAGTATTCCATTTGTTCAGGTCTAGATCATTTGATATGCCACTTGGAAGGGGCCTGTTCTTCCAAAGGTGTAAATGTTGGATACAGAGAGCTAGCTATGTTCCTTTTACCTGGTTCCCCTTTAGTGCTGTTAAGCCTTTTGAAGTTCTGGAAACAGCTAGGTTAAATGCTATTTGTTCCATTATTTAAACAAAAAGAAATGTTGCACACATTTCAACAATGTGTCTTGGCTTCTCCCTGTATCTTGGGAACTTATTAACTGTGCTTCATTTGCTATAATTCTACTTACCTCCCACTCATCCTCTCAGGAGAAAGGATAGGGGAAAGTCCTGGTCAAGGTGCATCCTACTCTAGGATGTATTTTTTCTATCTCCCAAACACCCATACTTTTTCCCCCCTTTGGTAGGTTGTTAATGGAAATAACTAGAGAGAGAATGTTGCTTTCCCCCAGTAGGATGTAAGCTTCTTGAGGGCAGAGATTGTTTCAGTTTTTCATTTGTTTGTTTAGTCTTTGTATTATCTGAGTCTGGAGCATGAAGGAGAATGTGAAAGGAAGAGGAATTTACTTTCTTCTCTAGCCCCCACTCTAGTAACTTGGGCATTAGAAGCTGCATCAGACACTCCCTTACTCCTCCTACTGGGCAGTTCCTACTCTCTAGTCTTCCCCCTTGACTCTTGTCTTACAAAGAATAGGGTTAGAGGGTGAGTGGGAGAAGGATAAGTGGAAGCAATGGAGAAGAAAGCAACATGATAACTCAGTGCCTTCCAGATAGCAGTGATGACTTGTTTTCATCTAAGAGCAGGAAAAAAAAAAAATCCAACAACCCTAGATCTATCTTTGCCTGCTTGTAGACATTTATAAAAACTAATGTTGACATCATGAAGATTCTCTATCTTTTAGCTTGTAGCCCGTAGGCAGGATAGAAGCCTAGAGCTTTGGACTGAATATTCAAACTTCTGTTCTTTATATCTTTGTATATAACATGCTTGTTGTTAACCACTTTTTTTTTCTTTCTTTTTTTTTCTGCCTTCTCCTTCTCAGATGAGGCATGCAACCAGGAACAGTGGATTGATCTTTTAACTTCAAATCAGCTAGGTTTGGTACTGATTAAAACAATAAATAAACAACATAAAAGAACAGAGATAAAGTTTGAATTTAACATCTGTCCTCTTGAACACCAAGAACGGAGAGGAGAAAGGGAAAAGAGGCATTTTACCTAATCACATGAATTCTCATTTGGCGCAAACTTCACCACTGATTGGACATGCCCCATGCTGCTCTGGTCTCGGTTTTCCATTTGCTTTGGCGGCTGAAAGTGCTGGGCATCACAGAGGAGCCTGGTTTTATTCAAAACCATCCACAGATGACTGCCTTTCTTTTCTGTCTCCCCATCCAACCTGTATTTCTCAGTCTCTATCTCTGTCTGTCTCTTTGTCTCTGTCTCTGTCTCTGTCACACACACACACACACAGAGTGTTCATTGCTACATATTACAACCCTTTGTCATGGTGTACACTCTCTCCTGATAGCTTCTCATTCCCTATGAGAAAGATAGGGAAAAATGTTATCTTGGGGGATTCTTTTTCCCAGAAACTCATGCACTTAAGGTTCATGGAATATTTTGTCACTGCCCACAGAAGAACTGGCCTACCAAACCCTTGATATATTTGTATCACTGGCACTAGCACAGTTTCTCAAACAGTTTAGGTGTTTAATAAATCTGCTTGAAATGAATGAATGATTCTTTTTTTCCGAGGTTTAGTTAGCTATGTTCTTTTTAGGGGTGGAGATTGGGGGTAGCTTAGGGGTGCACAAGTCAAACTTTGACTTACTTCCACAAGTTTCTGATAGTTTTTTTGATATCTCCCTTCACACAAGCTGTTCACTAATCCTAGGCCCAAAGAGGCTGGTTTTTTTTTTTTTCAAGTTTAATGCTGAATATATGAAATTGTGTATGAATACTTCCCAAACCAAATACGTGTGTGAGTAGCCAGGATGGAGGCTGTTTTCCACTTAGCCTCATCCCAGAAACATAACCTCAAATATGAATTTAGAACACAGAAACATAAGCAGACATCTTTAAAATGGCCAGAACATAAAGAATTCCTGTAGAAGAGCCCAACCAACTGATACATTGTAGACTCCTGAAGTGAGAGGGATACTAAAGAATGGGAAGAAGCACTTTAGCTCTGGTGTTCCATATTTTGTCAATGAAGTAGGAATGACACCATTTACCTTGAGCTTTAGAAGACTTTGTACCATGCTGAGCCATTGGCGTCAGATGCAAAAATGAGTCAATGACTGAAATAAGTTGCCAGACAATTTATCCCATTGGCATCAAGCCTAGAATTAAAATCAGATCTTCACTTTTCCAAAACTTCCTTGCTTTAGATTTTCCAAATCTGAAAATAAATATTGTGAGCAATGACTTTCCTACAGTTCTCTGATGTATGAAGAGACATTTTCATCTAATTTTGGTCAGACAGAATTAGTCCATGGAAACTGTTAATGCAGTATCAACAGAGCCAGGCTTGAATAGTCTAGAGTTTGACCAGAAAGAAAGGAGTTATTATGTTCTGGGTTAATATTTTCCCTTCTTTAAGAAGTTTCAAGCACACCAGATGTTCCTTCACAGACAAAACATTTTGTTTCTGTAACATTACTGTTCCTCTTGTCGATGACTTTTATTAACAATTCTCATGTCTGCCACAAGGTGGCAGCAAACCACCGCCTCTGGATGTTTATACTTTTGCCCTACTCAGTACAAGTTTTGTTTTTCAAACAAAACCATTGGTCTGACGTTTCCTAGAGAAGCCTGAATCCCTCCTTCTCCTTTTAAGTTCTCCAGGTGAAACACTGAAGGGCTTGTCCTGGGTAGTAGCTTATAACTGATTCTTCTCATTTGGAGGGCTGCCGACCTATTCATTATTTAATTGAGGTACAACTCTTTGAAGATACAAAGTTACTTATAAATGTGTAATATTTTGATACTGATTGTAGCCATTAGGCATTCCAGGGGATCTCTCTCTCTCTCTCTCTCTCTCTCTCTCTCTCTCTCTCTCTCTCTCGCTGTCTGTCTCTCTGAATCTCTCTCTCTGTCTCTCTGAATCTCTCTCTCTCTCTCTCTCTCGTCTCTTTTAACTGATGATACCAGGTACAAGTCTATTCTGGAAGTCTGCTCAGAATCTATGCTAGGCCATCAACTCCTTAGGAATACAGGGAACAACACGTCTTGGGTGAATTGTATCTGCAAAACTTTCTTTGTTTCAGGCCCTGCCAAACTACCTATAGTTATGCTCAGCATTCATACATTTCTGACTTGCCATCTGAAAGGTGGGGCCTCCACCTGTTGAAAATTCACCTGTGAGATGAAAAGGAACAACTTAACCAAAGACTCTTAGCTACAATGACCCCAGAGGACATATCAGCCTGGACCTTTTCCTTCTTGTTTGTGGCTTTGCCTTGGAGGCCCGGGAAACTTATTGTATAAAAGTCACTTACTTCCTCTGTGGTGGGAAGAATTCTAGCCTTAGAGTCAGGAGACCTGGATTTGAGTCCTGCCTTTTCCACTTACTCTAGCTAAGCGCCCATGGGTAAGTTATGTAATATCTCTGAGCCTCATTTTCCTAATTTGGGAGAAAGGAAAATAGAGGAGAACCCTGGAAGAAGTGTCCAGGCTGCAACATTTCTGTTGTCCAAACTGCCATGAATTCCTGTGGGGGTATAATAATGCACATATTACCTGCCTTAGAATTTTGTTGGGAGGAAAGTGCTTGGCAAGTCATAGAATGCTATAGAAACATAAGCTTGTGTTGGTATTTTTTATAGTTTTCTCAGGGACCAGAGTGAATTCTACAAGTCATAATTATTCCTTGGAGTTGGGGAGGAGGACCCCTCTTGGCTGAGTTATGACAGCTGCTTTATAGTCGGGGGGAGAGGGGATGATGTGGCTTCAGTCAGAGGAAACCTACCACTTTAGCCTTTATTCACCCTAATGTACCATGGCTTCTTTTCCAGTATAGTCACCTGTGGTTGGAGGATAGAAAGGAAGGGGATGAGGGTCAGGGGAGCCAGCAACAGGACTGCTTCTGCACTCAGCCTGCAAGCTTCTGGTAGGAGAAGAAGCCCAGGGTGAAGAAGAACTTGGCCTTCCTCTTCAGCTACTACATGGTGAGTGGTAGGCACTTCCTAGTGGACAGAAGGATAATAGGGGATATTAATGACCATAGATTTCGAGGTAGCAGGGATCTTAGAGATTATCAAGTTCAGTATCGCTTATTGTACAGATAAGCAAACTGAAGCACAGAAGGCTTAAATGATTTGCCCAGTGTCGCACAGCTAGTAAGTTTCTGAGATAGGATTCAAATCCAGGTCTCTCTGACACCAAATCTTATACTCTATCCACTATACCGTGGTGGTCCTAACAGCTTTGTCGTGTACCCTATACCCTTCTGACCACTTTGGCTCCATCAGAGCCTTTCATCTATCCTTATCAGCCCTGAGAACCACCAAGACTTTCCATCAGTACTGCAGCTGGATCCTCTTCTGTGTATTGCCTCCCTTGATTAGAATGTGAACTCCTGGAGAATAGGGATTGTTTAGCTTTTCCATTTGTATCTCCAGAACTTTGTACAGTGCTTGACATGTAGTATTTCAGAAATGCTTTTTAATTTATTCATTCATTAATTTATTATGTGAAGGGAGAAGGGGATGGAAGGACAAACAGGATTATGAGTCTGGATATTTGAAATACACAGGTCATCTTGAAACCAGATTTTAGTCCATATTTCCATATTTCTACTAAAGATTTTATTAGAACCTGCTAACAGGTAATAAAAAGGTTGTTTGATTTTTAGCTGGTCCCATTATTGGGAGTATTAATAATAAGCAATGAGCTTTCCAAAAGACAAACAAGTGAAGAAAGAAAGAAAAGACAGTAGAGGATGAATCAACTATACTTGTGTATAATTAAGGCTAGGGTACTTGAGAGTTGGCTAGAATGTTCTTTTCCAGGGAGACTGGATTCTTTACACACATAGTCTGGAAAGCTGAAATTGTTAAGATGACAAAGAAAAATGAAACAAAAATTCTCGTAAGATAAATTTATACTAGGGGAATAATTGTGGCACTAATTTCAAGGAGAATTTAAGTCCATACTAATAAACCGGGTTTGTTTAACAGTGATATTACTATTATTGAGGTTCCAACCTATCTTTCTAGATTGCTCTTTACAAAGTTATTAATAATTTCTTAATGGCCAAAATAAAATGGCCTTTTCTCAATCCTTTTGGATACTCTTTCCTTTCTGTTTTGTGTGCACTTATGCTCGTGTGTGTGTGTGTGTGTGTGTGGGTATGACACTGTTCTTTCTTGGTTTTCCCTAGTTCATTTCTTACTTAAACTATAGCAATAACCTTCTAATTGATTTCTGTCCCTACTCTCTCTCCAATTCATCCTCCACAAACTGCTAAAGTGATTTTCCTAAAGCATGGGTCTGCATGTAACCCTGCTCCCACCAATTTTGATACTTCCTGTAGCTGCCTATTACTTCCAGGATCAAATTAAGATCCTTTGCATTTAAAATTCTTACAACCTAGTCCCTTCCTATCTTTCTAGCTTTCTTACACTTCACTCTTCTTTTTAATCTATTAACCAGCCATAATGATCTACAATGCTATTCTTCACATGAAATTCCATCTACCTCCTCTGTGCCTTTTCACTAGTTCTAGGTGCCCACCCACCACCTCACTCTACCACCACGCTCTCCCTTGTTTTTTCTTCTTAGATCCCTTGGTTTCTGTCTAGACTCAGTTTAAACACCACCTTCTGTAGGAGGCTTTCTTAGGTACATGTGGCTATTGGACTCTTCCTTCCTATGATAATCTTCTATCTACTCAATATATGACTATTTACATAAAATTTTCCCCATTTACATAAAATGTTTCCCTCCTTAAAATATAAGCTCCTTGAGGACAGTTATTATTATTTTCCTTTTCTTTGTAGTCTCAATGCTTAGCACAGTTCCTAGAACAACGTAAGCATTTAATGAATGTTTGTTGACTGATTACACTTTACTTATCCCCAAGCATTCTCCATTCCAACCAAACTGGTCTACTTGCTATTCTCCATACGCGAAATTTCATTTCTTGTCTCCATGACTTTGTAGAGGTTGCACCTATTACTGGAATCCTCTCCTTCCTCACTTCTGCCAATTAGAACACCTCATTTGATGATATGCTGTAAAATTGTTGCTACCAACTTTGATGAAATTGATTGAGATAGAGCATCCAGAGGTTTTTTTGTTCATTTGTTTGGTCGTAATTTCTGATAATCCAGCGAATCTTAGATTTTTTTTCCTTGACTTGTTTTTTAGGTGAGTTGTTTTTGATTGGTGATACCTTAAATTTTTTTCTTTTTTAATCTTTTGATTTTGTTCCAATATTTTTGCATCACATGGAATCTTTGATTGTTGCTTGATCTTTTCTAATTTTTATAGTTAGTTATGTAAGTAAGCTGTTATACCTCCTAAGCTCTACTAAGCTTTTTTTTTCTTTTTTTTTAATTCTTAGGCAATTGGGGTTAAGTGCCTTGCCCAGGGTCACACAGCTAGTAAGTGTCAAGTGTTTGGTCTGAGGCTGGATTTGAACTCAGGTCCTCCTGACTTCAGGACCGGTGCTCTATCCACTGCACTACCTAGCTGCCCCATAATTTTTTTTTTTTGGCAATTGGGGTTAAGTGACTTGCCCAGGGTCATATAGTTATTAACTACTAAGCTCTTTATTGTCCTTCCAAGTCTTTACTGTGGATCTGTCAGTTCTTTTCTATTTTTCCCCATCTAGAGCTTTTATTTCATTTACAATATCATTTTTACAAAAAAAAAAAACCTCCTGCTTAATTTCTTCTAGGAATTCTAGTTGACATTGTGGTCAAGTTGGATTTTTGTTTGGTTCTTTCTTTGCAGATGCTGTGGAAGAGTTATTTATTTCCTTCTTCTTGGCTTGTGTCTTGAGCATCCATGGATTTTTTTCTTGATCTTCTTTTGTTTATTGACTTTTCCAACTTTACTTCCTGAATTTTGGACTTTTTTTCAAAGCCAATGTCTGTGCACTTTTGGAGGGAAAAATAGGGCCTTATTTGGTCATGATCTGTAATATCTGTGGTCCTGCTACTAATTTCGCAAGGTATGTGATTTAAAATCGTAGTGTTGAACTCAAACAGAAATGGGGGCTACTAAACCACACATTAAAGATCCATGTAGCCTGCATATTGACTTAGAAAATCACATATTAGCATTATCTGTGCTCTCTTATAATTTTATTTATTTTGTTAAGTACTTTGCAATTACACTTTAATCTCATTTGGGTCACATCTGTTAGTATTGCAGACTTTGATATAGTCCATGGGCAGTTTGTTGAACATCTCTGATCTATAAGGATGTCAGGGTGGCTCAGGTCAGCAAGCTGCAAACTGGATTCTAGCTCCAGATTGGAGTCTGAGTGACACATCTATAGACTAGCTCCCAGTTAGAGTTCCAGTAGACTGATGTTGGTGCCCTCTCCTATCAGAATCCTGCCAAATTTCCCTGACTCAGGTAACAGAACTGCAGTATCAACCCCACTCTCCCCATACCCCAACCCAAATTCCATACTCCTTGCCCTCAATACATGACTATGTGGGATCAGAGCTACATTACTACAACCTTACTCCTACTCTAGATCCTTCTCCTAGCACTCACCTGCAGGCGCCAACCCCAATCCTCAAGTTGGAAAGTTCTGCAAACAGGATCCAGGGTTAAACAACATGATGTTAACAAGTAGTACTTGAAAGTTAATTCACTAGATTTTTTGCTGACACTATCATCTTAATTTCCCCATGGTTCCTTTCCTTCAACAATGTCGATGATGACCACAATGACAACAGCAATAACATTACCATCAATAATATATTGTATTTTGTATTTCAGGAAAACCCTCTTTGTTTTCGTGATTAAGCCCCTGTCCTTATGACTAAGGTATTGGTAGTGGTGTGGAAAGAATATGGCTTGGATTTCAGCACCTGGGCTCTAGTCACCTCTATGCCATTTTTTAGCTATGCAACTATAGGAAAATCACTTAGCCTCTTTGATCCTCAGTTTCTTCATCTATAAAAAAAGTAGGTTGGGTTACATGACCTTCAAGGTCTCTTTTAGTTCTAGCTTTCTGTGTTTCTCTGACATAATTCTAACCCTGACCATCTTCAGGTCAGTAATACTTCTTTACACTCTTCCATTCCCATTACTTCATAGCAACTCAGGTCCTCAGCACCATACTCCAAAATGTGGTAGGCGGGAGGTCTTGGTTCAATCTTGGAGGCTTATCCATAATAATATTATATTTCCAGCTACCATTTCCTCTGGGAAAAGAATTTGCTTCATTTTATTTGCATCTAGTGCAGGTAAAACTCAAGAGAATTTTAAACTAGTAGGGAAAACTCGAGTCACCTACTATACAAACAAGCTATAGATATGAATCAGGGGTTGCTGTGGTACCCATCTGTGAGGCAGCTGGTCTTTCTTCCCTAATTTCAAATATCTGGGAATTGATTGACTTACAGAAGTACTAAATGGGGAGATCTCATAGGGTACTGGTATCTGGGAGTATTTACTGCTCTATTCTAACACAACATCTTGCCCTACTCCCCAGCAGTCTCAGTACCACAGAATAGGCAGAGGAGTTGTGTTCCTGGTGTGCCTAGTTGGAAATTGGAATGCTTTTTTTTTCTGCAGAGAAAATATTATAAATAGGGGCTAGATATCGTTTAAAACAGACCAATGGCCCAGGGTTTCTTACTCTCCCCATGGACAGGTTAAATAAACTCTTGTAGGATTCCTTGAATCCTAACCCTCACTTGTGGTATTGTTTCTAGGCAAAATTCTTTCTCAGAACCAAAAAAGCAACTTACAAGTAGTGATACTACAATGCATTGTATTGTGATCATCTATTTACATCCATGTCCTATCTTTCCAACCATATTTTAAGCTTTTGTAAGGGATGGACTTCTTTGTGTTGCTCATAGTACCTGGTACAATTGCCAATGAACATCAGAACATTATTGGGGATCCTGGAACCTTGGTGAAATTCAGTTGGGAAGGAGGAGGAAAGGATAGGGGAGGGATGATATAGAGAAACATG